AAAGGATTGTAATTCTCCATTTTGAAACGTTCAAGAATTTCGTTATATATGGCTCTTGTGACAGAGCAAGAAACATTTTCGAACGATCTCTATGTATTTTAACACGTAATATGTAATCTGCTCACCCATATCCTTCATTTCAAAATTTGAGGACAACTATTTCTTAATGGTTTTAATATACTCTTTATCATTTCCAGTTAGTAAGATATCATCTACGTAAAGATAAAATTATAAATTTCTCATTGAATTTTTCAAATAAATACATTGATCTTCATCCACTATGACAAAATTGTACGAGATAATTGCTTTGTCAAATCTCATTTACCAATGTCTAGAAGACTGCTTTAGGCCATAAATTGATCTATTCAATTTATAAACTTTATTCTCTTGGCCAGTTTTAATGAAACCTACTGGTTGTTGCATGTAAATTTCTTCATTCAATTCTCTATTGAGAAAGACATTCTTCACATCCATTTGATATAATTCTAAATCTAAACGTCTCACAATAGCTAAGAGTAGGCGAATTGAAGTAAATCTCACTACTGGTGAAAAGGTCTCTTCATAATCTATACCCGCCTGTTGAGTATAACAGTTTGCCACCAAGCAGGCATTATACCTCTCTATAGTCCTATCAGCTCTTTGCTTTATTTTGAGAACTCATTTGCTCCCAATGGCTTTTCGACCAGGTGAAAGATAAACCAAATCCCAGACTTGATGCAATTTCATAGAATCTATCTCTTCTTCCATTGCATTCTTCCACTTTTCCTTTTCAGGGCATGCTAGAGTTTCTTGTACTGATTTTGATTCTTCATCATCTTCTGGAAAACTTGCCTTTCAATCTCGAAATGACATTTTGACATACTTTTTCTAGTACTCTTATAAAGTGAAAGCTCCGATGTGACCCTGTTACTTGGAGTTGGAGATAAATTGCTCTCACTTCAATCAACAGGTGACCGTGCTTCCTTTTGCACCTCAATTGATCCATCAAGTACAACTCTATCATCTAATTCATACAAATGTTTCTATGAACACATATCCGTTGGACTGGTCTGAGTTACACTTATTGTCTTACTGACCCAATTTTCCAAACTTACTTGAGGAATCATTGATATAGGCAGTCGATCCCCAGGATCTAAAAGAACTCAAATCAGGGGATCTACCTGTCCAAAGCTGATATGGTGTAGTAGGTACCGATTTAGATGGAACTCTAAGGTCACAGTTAACAAAGTGTTTACCCAATAGGAAATAGGTAAGTTACCCTGCGCCATCATGGACCTCACCATTTCTAGCAACGTTCTATTCCTCTTTGTTGATGTTTATTGGAAACAGATAATTGTCTAATGATTTCATTATTGTTACATAGTTCTTTAAACTCTTCAGACATATATTCACGCCCTTGATCGGTTCTTAAGGATTTCACATTTCTATCTATTTGATTTTCTATCACATTTAAATATCTTCTAAAGCATTCTAATGCTTCCTATGAGAAATCAAATAGACATAACTATACCGCGTGAAATCGTCTATAAATTGTCTAATGATTCCTTTATCATTACATAGTTCTTTGAACTCATCGGATAGATATTCACGTCCTCGATCAGTTCTTAAGACTTTCACCTTTCTATCTATTTGATTTTCTATCACATTTAAATATCTTCTAAAGCATTCTAATGCTTCCTATGAGAAATCAAATAGACATAACTATACCGCGTGAAATCGTCTATAAAAGTAATAAAATAAGAGGCCCCATGTCTTGCCCTCATATTCATAGGGCCACATATATCTGAATGAAGTAACCGCAACAGTAGTAACTTTTTCTCGTTTTCGGGGTTTGGCTAATAACATCGCCTTTCCTAGGTGTTCTTTTAAAGCCTAGCATGCATGCTTGCATTCACTGCCTCATTTTAATTTTTTTCTTCTCTTCAACACTTGGAAAAAATGAAAGCACTTGTCTATCTCTCATGATACAAATTTGTTCAAAGTGACGACCCTTCCTGTTAAATTTTGTACTTTATTTGGCTTTGTTGGGACCACATTTTGATAAGAGCTTAAATTTAATGGGGATTTGCTTCGATATCTCACTGATTTACCATATATTCTCGAAATTTTTTGAATTTGACTCCAATGACGTATTTTAGTGGATTGCGTTTCATCATATACTTTTGTAATATGTTAAAGGCTTCTTCCAAATACTTTAAATGGCTTTCAGCTCATAGGCTTTTAAAGAACACGTCATCAATGTATACTTCCATTATTTTCCCTAGCCGGTCCGCAAACATTTTGTTCACCAGTCTTTGATAAGTGGTTCCAGCATTTTTCAGCCCAAATGGCATTACTTTAAAAAATATAATCCTCTGCATGTTACGAAGGGAGTGTGTTCATCATCTGGTCCAGCATGGGGATCTAATTATATCTCGAATCAGTTCATGTCCCGCTAGCTGATCAATTCTAAGGAGCAAAAAATGTCCTTGGGATAGACTATATTCAAGTCCGTAAATCTTAGCATGTTCACTATTTTTTCGTTGCTCTTTGGCACTAAAATTGGGTTACTTACCCAAACTAGGTATTGAGCCTCGTAGATAAAGTCATTTTCTAACAATCTACCTACTTTGTTCTTTAATGCTTCATACTTCTTGGCACTCATTGGTTGCCTCCTTTTATATTTTTGGCTTTATCTCTGAGATTAATTTTCAAGGTATGATATGCCATTTGGGATCTGTTTCCACCATATCAGCATACTTCCAAGCGAACACGTCTATGTTTGTTGTAAGGAAGCTTTTCAAAAATCATTTGATAGGTTCATTTTCAGGAACTTGTTTGTATCTTCTGACCTAATGAAAAAACTTTTCGTTCTTCAACCGAGGCCATTTCTGACATATATTCAGTGATGCGATGATCGATTAAGACATCGATTTCAAGTTTCTTTCCAAGATTACTCATTTCAAATACAACAAATATATTTTTCTTAGGAGCTCCTATAGCTTCTCCCCTCACGTTACTTTCATGATTCTTGCACAAGATTCATTGATTATGTTTTAAAGACATTTCACCATTATTCGTGGAGAACCTCACATACAATTGATAGAGGGAAATAATTATATTCGCTCGCTTAATGGCATTCTGACCAAGGATTCCATCATATGCGAATTTTTTTCTTTATGATGTTGAAATATATATATATTCTTGATATGCCCAGGCTCCTTTCTTATTTTCACTAACAGAGTGACTCGGTCACGAAGGACTGGGTCACCTCTGGGAAAGTAGCGAGTCTCCGGTACAGTTGAAAGCTTTTTCGCATAAAATACTTTTCGTACTTCCGTTGTCTAAGAGCATACAGTGAAAACATTCTCCAACTATTATTGCCTAGATGACTTTCTATGACCTGAATTTTCACTTCTAGGTTCTTTAGATTTAATAGAAGAGGTTACAGATTGCAGATTACCCGTCTTTCCTATGATTTCTGTAAACTGTTCTTCGTCGGTAGGTTTACTTTTCAGGTTCCTTATTTCTGTGTTGAGAGCAGCGTGTTCCGCTGTTAAGAGTTTTTGAGTTCTTCTACCATTTTTCTGTATGGTATCTGGTGCCAACGTCTTCTTCCATAGACATCGACGTTGAGCGAGGGACAAATCCTTTTGCACTCATACCATGATATCCTTCTACCATCGCTCTAAGCCTGTACTAACTGGATCACAGCTGATCTCTTTACTTCCAACCTCCAGTATTGCTATCTCTTTCGGACTTACTTTCACACGGCTCATTTTCGCAGAATTCAGTGATTTCTCAACTCAAATGGATAAATTTGTGATTTTTTTTTGTTGCTTAGTTTCCCACGGATAGTACCAATTTGTTGACTACAAAATTACAATCAACAAATTCATCTCATTTAGCCAATATTTTATCCTCATATACTCTCTGATTTCGATGCTCAAAAGGAGCAAAATGGGAAATGGCTATTTGAAAGGGGAGATATTTGAATTTGTAGGCATTCATCTCTCTATGCAAAAGTATTTATAGGTTTCCTCCAAGGCTTTGGGAGCAATTAGGTCATTCTATAGAAGAAGAGGTGGTGGTTATCTAGTGATGGGTTTATAATTGATTCTGTTAATTATTCATTTGTTATTCATCATTTTATGTGTTCTGTGTTCATTGGTTCAGAAATTATGCTTTCAATACTTACTGACATGTGCTTTAATAACAATTATTGCCAGCCAATAATTTAAGGGGATGGTTCGTCCTCTATCACCTGCGAGCTCTTCTATGTTTCTGTCAGTTATGTGTTTAACCTTCACCTACAGGGGGCGTGAGCTTGCAGGCTTATTTTCTTGATTCAACAGTGTGATTTATGTCCCAAACATGCTCATAATCATAAAGTTTCAAAACTTAGTATATGTTTGACTGTTCTTAAACAATTACTTATAAGTAAATAAACATCATACAAAATAATTTTTTCATTGATTAAAATTAAAAATAAGTTATGGCTAAAGCTTAAAAATAAGTAAAAAAAGAATATTTTTAGTTCCAAAACTTAGTGTATGTTTGACTGAGCTTAAAGTTTTACTAATAAGCAATTAATCATCATAACAAAATAAATTTTAATTGATTAAAATTGAAAATAAGTTATAGCTAAAGCTTAAAAATAAGTAAAAAATATATTTTTATTTAAAATTTTGTTTGCACAAGTAATTTAGAAGAATTTTTTTTTCAATTCTTATTTTAAAGCAATTATGAGTACGCTGTCAAAATAAGTATCTTATTATTTTAATTTCAATTGTTTTAAAATATAAGTCGACACACCTCAAGGCTCCAACTATAGAAAAAGAAAAAGAAAAGTGGAAACAAATCCCTCAAAGAAGAAGAAACAATCTCGTAAAAAAAACCGGAGAAGGGATATCATATAATACATCGTATATTACACAAGGGAAATGCTCAAATTTTCCATTTTTTTTCTCTTTTTCTCTTTTCTTGAGGGATTTTTTTTGAGAAAACAAAGAAGTAAAAGGTTAAACAACAGCAACAGTGCCGGTTTGTAAAGGATATTCTTGTGAGTTTGATGTCCTCTTTTTATCCTTATTTCTCAAGGCTTTCATGGATACAGAAAGGTTCCAGCTCTTCTCTCTGGCTTCATCACTCTCTATCTGTTGTTGTCGACAGTCTACACTGCAGAATGGTGTGTCCCCTCTGTACATGTAGATGTCTTCGTTTTTACCCAGTCGTTTCTTACAAAGAAAACAAGCTTCTAAGAAATGGGGTTCAGACAAAGCAGCAGTATGCCTATAAATCACTGAAGAGGGAGCTGGAGCTGTAAGGGAGGCCAACCCATCATCTTCCTCTATGAAACAAGGCCTTCTTCTACCAGCCAACTGATCCATGCTTGCTTGTTTGTTGGGAAAGAAATATCGGAGAAATAATGTTGGTTGTGTAAGGGGGGAATAATGTGGATTATAAAGAGAGATAAAGTGTAAACTACGGCGGGCGGGGGTTTCAGAATCTATTGGCCAACGATACTTTTTGCATCATTGATTGCGTAGGAATTTACTTTATTGCCCTTGATTCTGCTTTTATTTACGTTACAACAAACGCCAACTAAACTTCCTTTTTTAGTATTTTTAGTCGAGCTTTTCTGAAGTTTATTTTTCGCTCTTTTAGGTTAAGCCGTTAAGGCAAATATTTATTTTTCTATACTATTTTAACATTGTTATTTTTTTATATTTAAATTATATATATACCTTTTCACATTTTTTACTCAAATGGGATTAATTTAGTTAAAAAATACCATTGAAAATATTTTTATAAAATTTTAAAAATTATAAAATGTGGTTTTTTTTTTCGCAAATATAATTAAAAAATAATTAACGAGTCTACATAAATAAATAATTTTAAAATAATTTAATAAAATTAATTGAAAATGCATTAAATATTCAATTGAAATTAAACGTGGATGTCATGGTCAAGGGGGAACTAGTTTCTTCGGGGTTAGTAGGAATACTAAGGGCCAAATGATGCCGGAAAATATTTTTATATACACCGGTGAGCACATTGCTGTCTTGCGTTGTCAATCTTATTATTTTATGAGTAAAATTGTTTATTTCTGATTTTTAAAAAAATTATTAAATATTTCTATTGCTAGATGTAATAGCATTTTTATTTAATTTTTATGCTCTTGAGATTTATGATAAACTAATATTATAAAATTAACGTAATATTATCGTAACCAAAATTGGCAATAAAAGTTTATAGCATAGAGTTCATTATCATAGTATTTTTCTTGGCCAACTCTAATTTGGTCTTTTTATTGAGAAATCAAAATTTAAAATTAAAATAATATATATATATATATATACTCTGTACAAAAACATTAAAAAAATAAACTTTTTAAAATTAAGGGGGGGAAAATGAAGATAATCACGAATTTTGAACTCTATTTTGCTGGAAGAAAAAGCAACTGAGATCCCATTCCCATGGCATTATTGTAAATTAATCATGATTTTTAATGGTTAATAAAGTCAAGTGGGGTATTCCAACTTGTGCCCTCACCTAATTGCACATGTGATGCTTCGTCCATTCAAGGCACGGACCTCTTCTACACGACAATTGGAAAGCTATTTTACGGGCCCGTCAATTTTAATCATTAGTCGATACATAACTTTTTAATCATACATTTCATCGATTTTTTTATCAAATTTTAAACTCCATCAAATAAGGATAACGAGTGAGTAAAACGATAAAATCAATAAAACGAATATTATTTTACTCATTTAAATGACATTATCATTTCACCTCGTATGAGATGAAAACGTTAACAACTTTACACATAGACCAATGTAAAAGGTGCAATGTTTTTTTGCTGGATTTCACTTGACGCTTATTGACTGACATATCACAAAAATGGAAAAAAGAGGCCTACGAATCAGGTACTGTCACTGCAGAATCTGTGGGGAAATTCAATAAAAGAATCCTGTACTAAGGGGAATTTTCCTTGTACATCATAGACTTATTCGTCCTTTTAAACCATGTTCTACCGTTTTTCTATGGGCAGAGGCAGTCTTCCTTTTTAACCACAAGGCAGAAATATTATTTTACTCTTCTCTCAATGCTTGGATTAGAAACCTGTTTGGACTTCTTTAAAATAAGAGTTTGGGGAAAACTATGGTTTAAAATAATGATTTTTTTTTAAAAATATGTGGTTGAAAATAAGGAAAATCTCAAGTTTACGTGTAATATTATTTTATGGAAGAATATGTGGTTGCGAATGAGTTTTGAAAAAAATACATTTTTCAAAAAATTGAGTTGAGATTTAGAATAATGCTATCGAACACAGTTAATATTAGGGGTGTTCAAAAGTCCCGAATCGAACCGGACCGAATTGAACCCGAACCGAACAGAACCGAGCGGTTCTTCATAAATTAAATATCCGAACGGGTACCCGAATAGAGAACCGATAGGTTTGGGTCGAGTCTCGGGTCTAGACCAAAAATCGAAAAATCGAATAAGAACCGAAATTAAATAATTTTGTTTTATTTTTTTTTTTGAATTAATTAAATTATTTTTTTTTTTTAT